CACACACACACACACACACACACACACACACACAATGTTATGTCCGCAATGATATTCTTCCACGTTTGTCTCCTGTAGGGGGAAAAATACGTATGTTTATACCAACGACAGCGGTACTTGTTCTGCTTCTGTGGTTCGCTTTGTTAAATCGTGTCGGAGATTTTTTAAAAAGACGGTGTCTATTCGGTTGTTACGAGTTTACTTTGGCTTTTCCCTGAATTATTTTGGGTCAAAGGTTGGGATACGGAGGGACACCCCCCCCCCCCCCCCCATCCCCTCACCTTGGGTTCTTGGTAAGGTTCCCCCACATACATACACAGAGAGAGAGAGCCCCCCCCCCCCCCTCTAAATTTCCCCCTAACTCACGCAGTTTTTGTCCTCTTCTATTTCACTGGCTTGGCTGGCGGTGGGAGCTTCTGTAGGGCTTTGTGTTACTATGTTTATTGACGGCATTGTAGTTTTTTGTGTTATTTTCATAGCTGATCTGTTTGTTGGTTATTGGATATTTATTTGCGGACATGTTATGTGTTCGTGTTACCTGTTTGGATACCCTATTCAACATACAGGTTGGCTCAGAAAGCAACTGGATATTTGCCACGAGCTGTATCCGTGAAATGTTTATGTTTTGTCAGTTCTCACTGTATACTGTATCATCGTACTGCATAACTGTTAACATTAAATGACGGGGAAGAAAGCTCGACGGAATAAGAATAGTACTTGTAATACTCATAATACTTGTGCAGCAGTCTTCAAACAACAGTGATGTCTTTGTGTAACAAATGACGCTCGTGGACGGTTGGCAGCTGTTCTAGCGGGGCTCGCTCGTTCTTTTCTATCAATTATCTGTCGTCCCTATATCTCGTCCTTTTCTTTGTATTTTACCGCTCTAGTTGTAACAACCCTAATCTTCGACACCTGTATGACTTACTTGTGTTGCAAGTGCCGAAAAACTCTTGCTTACTAAGACAAGCTAAATTCCGATGTTGGTCTCATATGCCACTTGCTTCATCTGGGAAAGATGTATGGACCACTCCCGGGCACACTGCGTGGTCCACGGCCACAAGGCGTACTTGACCTGATCTCGAAATGTAAACATTGTCTTTAAAGAATCGCTATTTTGAATAAGGGGAAAAAAAACTTTTCTAGTGAATTCAAATCATCCGAGTGTAGTGGTCAGTAAAAGTTCAGAGGGTGACTTTTCCTGTGAACATAATTGGTTGTGACCTGTTCCTCAAACGAGTTTCGTCGCCTGTCCCTAGCTCTGTACGCTGCTGCGTTCGACGTTTAGATTTCGAGTTTGAGCGATTGCTACGTTGGTGCAGGTGTTTTCTTCCAGGAACAGCAAGGATATTAGTATTGTCTACGTTTTTTATTTCTTCGTCTGGAATTTCCAGTTTCTGCTATCCCCTTTTCCTTTCTCGGTTCCGAGCAGTCGGTAAAATTTTAACGCTACCGGGTGCTGGTTGTTTGTAAGTTGTTTGAACTTTTCAGCTGGGCTCGAGTGAACCACGCAGTGTTTTCAATTTTTTTCTGTCATAATTTGATATGACTGTGGCTTCAGAATTCGCGATTCTAAAACGAAAATAACGAGTTTCAGTTAACCGGTGTTTGTGTGTGGTGTAGCGGTTACGCGCTTCACTACCGTGCACAGGAGACTCAAGTTCAATCCTGGGTGGGTAGTATTTTTGTTGAGTATCTCGGTCTTTCTTCTGGGATGTTGTGTCCTTCTCAACCCAGATTGACCCTGACAGGCAGGATCTGAAGCCTGTCTCCTAAATTATCTAAATCGTGTCGATGGGCATGTAAAAACGCCTATATTTTTTAAACAAATCGAACCGCACAGTGTCCTTGTTTTTGTTACCGTAATTTGAAATGATTATCTATGGCTTCAGAATTCGCGATTCTAGAGCGGAGAACGTGAGCTTTGTCGGGAGTTGTTCTGCTTTGTCCCTTCACTGCTACGCCTTAATTTGTATCAGCTTCTTTGTATAATTGTAACGTGAGCGTGCACTCCGTCGACGTATTGAGTAATTGTAGTGTCAGACACTTTGAAAGCAAATATGTGTCGATAGTGCCGTAAAACACCTACTCAATCAATCAATCAATCAATCTATCTATCTATCTATCTATCTATCTATCTATCTATCTATCTATCTATCTATC